CTTAATCATGCTGTTAAAAGACGCAAAGAGGATATGTAATGATGCAATAAGGATCAAAGCGTATACGAAGAAGCTGAGTAAAACAAGGAAGGAACAGTAGGTGTCATGCTGTGGCTATTGGCATTTTAAATAAGGAGAACTGGTCAACCCGGGAATTACAATGAAAAAAGTGATTTAAGTTAGCTAAAGAATGAGTTCACATTTTGTCATGGGAAGCGTGATCTTCCCCATGGCATGAATTTGAAGTGGATCGGGATCAATCGCCGCCGTGGAAAAGTGTGGGCTTTTTCCTGTTATTACAGGATGCGTAGGAGTCAGGAAAATAGACAGAAAACGGCAGCCTGATTTGACCATTCTCTCCATCGGCCCTTTCGTAACTTCCGTTCCGGAAAAATCCAAATTTTGAACAACCCTATAAATGCGGCACGGTACTCCCTTAGTAAACGGACTTTTTCTGCCGCTACCAATTGTTACGTTCTGTCTAGACGTACCATGGACACGCATACCTCTTCTTTAGCCACCAACAATAATGCGAGAGGGAGAACACCACTGGAGAACAACAGTCAGTGTATATTCTATGATGCGGTAGGCCAATATAAGTGGGTAAATTGGGCGTATGGGAACTGTAAGGCTTAGCAAAGCTTAGCTTGTATCTCACAGGACCTTTTTGGTTTATGGCGTTTCATGTGCTTTGCCTTGCAGGTTTAACTTACTCACGAGGGACCTGTCTGGCAGTGTATCCTTAACACCATGCCATCGTTCATCAACCGCGAAGTCTCGTATTGTCTCCAGCTGCGATACACTGTGCTGCAAGAGCCTGGAATGCGTTCGCATTACAAAACGACGTGGTGACGCACCAATCAGATCGCGTCTTTGACACTGATTGATCAATCGGACGATAGCTGTTTAAGTTGTTCTAGTCATCCAATCCGGAATCGATTCGCCTTGGGCGTCGCGAGTGCGTTTGTGGTGTGACACGGATTCGTGCGCAGCTTGACGGTTTCTAAGACCTCTATTCGAACGCCAACACTTGCTCGCCCTGTTTGCAACGCCCTTCTAACTGGGATAGTTGTGAAACACATCTTGGGACCTGATTCAGTGATATTTGGCAGACACAACAAAATGGCGACGAGTCAATAGGAAATTTCAATACATTTCCTACGGAGCAATTCAAACGCCTTCCAATGCACCGACAGATGCAGATGGAAGCTTTCCTGATATCGATCAAATCCAAACGCCCGGTACCCTACGTCGCCATCGAATCAGTCGATGCGGAACTATAGATCGAGTGAGATAATCTGATATCATCAAGCCGGTTAATTACTTACTGTGGGTTGCTCCTATTATGATCGTCATAAAAGCCAATGGCAAGGTACGCATTTGATCCGATTTCTCAATGGGTTTGAATGCGTCACCATAACATCATTAATATCCACTTCCGATACCAGAAGAAATCTTCACAAAACTAAATGATGGTATCTGTTTCGTCAAAATTATCAGATCCATATCACCGAATGAGTGTTACTGAGGCCTCAAAGGAGTTACGATAAAAATTCATCGTGGCTTGTTCCAGACCAATC